AAAGTTATAATTGTGCCCATTAGATTTAAAAACAATTTATAAACTTAAAAATTATCAAAAGAATACAAACATACCAAAAAATTAATGAATTTTATAATGAAAAGTTTAAAAAAAGATGTATTTAAAACAGAAAGCATGACATGAAACAAAATGATACACAAAAGTATATGTCATTTTTAGAACACGAAAGTGGATAAATTCACCTATTAAAGAAAAATGTTGGTAACAAATCAAATAGCAAAATTCAGCCATAGGCCATAACAGGACATGCATCTAAAAGAAAGTGATTTAGAAAGGTGGAAAAAAATGAAATGAAGAAACTCACAAGGCAAATGTAAACAAACAAAATAGTAAGTATCATAATATTAATATTAAACAAGGTTAATGTCAAGGTAAAATAATTGAATGGAGAAATAATAAAGTATATAACTACAATGAAGATCTAACTTGAATTTTATGTACCATATAATACAGCACCAAAATTGGCAAAGAAACTAGAGGAAATAAAGAAAAAATAAACAGAAACATAATATAGTAAAAGCATTTCAATTCACCTCTCTCAGCCCAAGTCAGATCAAGTGGACAAGTACAATCAGCCCTCTGTATGCACAGATGCAGAACCCACAAATACAGAGGGCTGACTGTATTATGCCATTTTATATAAGGAACTTGAGCATCCTTGCATTTGGAACCCACAGTGGGTCCTGGAACCAATCCCCCATGGATACTGAGGGATGACTGTATATTGAACTTTATGCCCTGAAAACAAAGAATAAATACATCTTCTTTCCAAATGCACAGGAAATAGTCATAAAATCAGTTGTATATTAGGTGGGCCACAAAGAAAACATTAGAAAATAAATCCTATCACCTTTACAGTTTTTTAAAAAACTCAAAATGTTAAATGAAATCAAAGAATATCAAGTTATAACAATAAAAAAATTCTGCATAGCAGAATCTGTAGGATATGGCTAAAGCAATGCTCAGAGGATAATTCATAGTCTTGAATTCTTGAAAGAATGAAGAACTAAGCTTTCAACTCAAGAAATTCACAAATTAACAGAAGCAGCAAAAACAACAAAAGCTAAGGAAAGCACGAAGCAAGCAGAAATTCAAAAATAGAAAAATTATTTAAGATAACCTTATCAAGGGAAAAAGCACAGATATACAAAATTAGAAAAAAGAATGGAAAAATAATCACAGAATCAGAAGATATTAAAAGAATATAAGACATTATTTTCCTCAAATCTATGTCAAATCTTATAAAATGAATGATTTTATAGGAGGTTATGAAACCATCCAATATCCTGAAGAGTATATACAAATCAGACTTAACCTATCAAATAAAGAAAGCTGTCTAAGAACTGGTCCACTCTCAAACTATATGAATGAAATAATGAACAACTGAATTAAGAAATCAAGGTCTGATGATTTCACAGGTATCATATATAACCAAAACATTAAGAAGCAGATAACTCCAATCTAATTTACATTGTTCTAGAGTATATAAAAAGAAAGCAAGCCTCCATTTTACAAATGAGAACATTGTGATAGACACCAAACCAGAAAAGGGTAGTACAGGAAAAAAGTTGCAAACTAGTATCACTTATTCAACTAATTCCAAACTCTTGAAAAAAAAAGATATTAACAAATAGAATCTAGCAATACATTAATGGAACATCGTCTACCAAAACCAAATAAAATCTATTTGTGAAGCAAAAGGATGATTCAAAGTTAAGACATCTAGTATAATGTGTGTGATCCAATAATTCAATTCACCACATTAATAGCTTAAAGGAGTAAAACTACATAGTCATTCCATTAAAAACTTTTTTACAGCTAAAAATCAACATCTATTCCAGATAAAAACTCTATATAGGAACAGATGAACACTCACACAAACACATACACAATGTAATACTAGAAGCACTGACATTAAAATCAAGAACAAAGTATGAGTACTACATCACTATTACTTTTCATTGTTCTGATACAATGACCATCTAATGAGAAAGAAGTCAAAAAAAACTAGAAAAATGGCAAAATTATTATGATTCGGAGATGAAAACCTAAGATAATCAACTAGAAAATGTCTTAGATTTTTTAGAATTTAATAAGGTTGCCAATGGGTAACAATAAAAATCAATAGCTTCCCTATATACAAATAAGCAATTAGAAAACATTCTGGAGGAAAATTTTATTTACAATGGGAAAAGAAAAGTATCTTAGGAATAAATTTCAAAAGAAATGCATATATTCTATACAAAGAAAACTTTATAAAACACTAAAGGATATAGAAACTGACTTCAATAAATGGAACATACTCTTAGAGGGGAAGACTGAAAACTTTAAAGGTGTCAATGGTTTCTGAACTGTGAATGTAAAGATAGTATTATTAAAAACAACTACAGGACTCCTTCCAGTAAAGTTCACACCAAAAAATAAGTGTTAAGAACTTGCCAGGAAAATCCCAGAAAGAACATTAATGAGGGAATCCTCATTAAACTAAATATTTAATGTCAGTAATATAAATTACATAATACAGTTTTTAAAATTCTTTGATACAAGTGCAGCAATAAGTAAACCAATGGAACAGAATACAAAGTCAGAGAAAGACTCAAGTATAGATCAGAATTTGGTATATAATAAAAAAGGTATTTCAAATCAGTTGGCTAAAGATTTTCTTACTATACAAAAAGTCTTTATAAACCAGTGAGGAAAATATCAACAACTTGATAGAAAAATGGGCAAACTATAAAGAGTTGCCACTTCTACCACCTTGATGACAATGATTAAGAAGTTTCATAAAACACTTTTTGCTATTGGTATTGATTAGGGTATGGGTAAACACATCCTTGTTTCCTGGTGGTATAAGTTTTACATTATTTCCGCCTTTTTAGAAGCAATTTGGCAACAACAAGTTTCAAATGCCCTCTGACCCAGCAATTCCACTCTGATCCAGCAATTCCACTCTGATCAATTATCTTACAGGCATATTCACACATGTTAACAAAGATGTATCTACCAGGATATTCTTTCCCATACTGTTTAAAATCATGAAAGGCTGGAAACAATCTAAAAGTCCATGTATAAAGAACTGGTCACATAAAACTATAATACATATATACACACATGCACATATACACATAAAAATATGCAAGTAGAGCTATATATGCTGTTCTAGAATGATCTTCAAGATACTAAACAAGCTGAAGTCAAGGATACCACTGTGTGCCTTTTAAACGAATGAAATAAAAACTAAAAGTAAATTAAATATGAAAATGAAGTTAAAATTTAACATTTGGTAACCAAGACAACCCATTTTGTAGTGCTCTTTATGTCTCAATGTGAGATTTATTCCTCCATAAGTGGATGGAATCAGCCAGAGCACATTCTTCAACTTACGATTTTCCTTCTTGGAAAAAATTAAATAAACTTATCAGATGTTCACAGGTTTATTTTATTGTCTCTTTTAGAGCATCTTCTAGGCACCATCAAAATGAAAAGAACATGGAAAAGATATAGCACATAAAATAGAAAAAGCTGCTAAATGTAATATACTTAGAATATAAACTCTCTTATGGTCTGTATATGTGATCAAAACAAAAAACTGAAGAAATTTCTAACATCAATTATTTTACTTTATACTTAACAATATGCCTTTAACAATTTTTCTTCTTGTTAACAGCAGCTTTTAAGAAAATACTTTTAAATAGAGATGTAAACGAGAATGAAGAATGAAATTAGTCAGATTATGGCAATTTTTAAGTATTTACAAAATACTACAACTAAATTAAATGAACATAAGATTTTAATTATACTACTTTAGACTGTCTGAAAGAGGAAGAAGGAGAAGTTACCTGAAGTTGATGGACAAATCCAGCATTAGGATTAATACAAAATCTTCTTTCTTGAACGTAGGCAAATGCATCTCTGAAAACAAAAAAAGAAAACTAAGGAGATAATATTTTTTCATGAAATAACCTCAACTTTTCCAGAATTTATCTAAAACCGGAACTTATCTAGCAATTTATCTAAAATAGGAAATCATAATCATACAGTTTGTACTACAGAAAGGTAGTGAGTTGCAGTGGAAAAATTGACAGCATGGTCAGACTAAATACTGCAATTCCTTTGCTTCCCAGCTGTATGTCCTAAGAGACACTTCTCAACTTCTCTAAGCTTTATTTTTCTTGTCTATTAATTGGGGATTACAATAATTCCTATCTTGGAGCACTATTGTGAAGATGGAAGATAATAAGTATAAAACATCTTGTATAGCATCTGTCACATAGCATATGCTCAGATATTATCACTGGTTAAATGAAAAGTGTATCTACTTCCTTGTGTCGTTGAGATAAAAGTGCCTGGAATAGTACCCGGTACGTGGCAGAGACTCCATAAATGGAACTTATTTTCACTATTTCACTCCCCCTTTTTTTTTTATTGAAGTACAGTCAGTTTCACTATTAACATTCTTATTGACATGGCACCAAATAATAAAGAGATACATACATTAAATATTGCCTACCAAGCATTAATCTTTTTCTATTAAATAAATAAAACATTTGTATTCAAATAATATTTTTTTTAGAATACTTGAGCAAATTTTTCCATTATAATTTAAAGATAAAAGTAGCAAACAAACTAAAGCATTTGAATATCTACTATGTGTCAGGCATGTGGACCCAATGCAAAACATAGCTCAAATGGAGAGAGTAATGGGAAACATGACATAAGAATGAAGAGGCTGACAGGGGCATGTCATGGGAAGTTTCACTGGCCATGTTAAGAATTACTAAGGGTCAGAAACTTTTGAGAGATATTTAGGGTAAGGTGATATCCGATCAGATTAATCTTTTGAGAAAATAATTCAGAATGTGGTGTGGAGAACAGAACATACCAAAGAAGGAAAGAAACATGAGACCACCAAGGAGGTGACTACTGGGAGAGTCCAAGGGTGACATGATTGGCGCTTGGATCAGGAGAGTAAATGATGATAAAGAGAAAAAGCCAGACTCAAGGTATTTTTAGGACATAAAACAGAAAGGATTTGGTAACAGGTCAGTTTGGGAAATGAGCAGTGCAAGAGAAGGTGGTATCAACGATTACAACAGATTTCTAACTTGTACACCAAGACACACTAAGAAAGAAAATACTGTACACTGGCCAGCTTTTTTGTTTGTTTGTTTTAGGGTGAAAAGCTCATCAGCCTGGCCCCCTCCCCTCGTCTATGCAATATGCTTGGAAAAGATGGTTTTGGATAAGACAGAGTACAACGAATTTTGAACAGACACTAAAATAATTTCTAGGTAATTTTTCATCCAACTACTGTTAAAGGAAAACATAATTAACTTTTTAAACAAAGCAAGCAATTATATCTTTGTGTAAGAGTTTTTAAACTCAGATTAACCATTCTCCAATAGTAAGCAAGCAGTTTCCCATGGATTATTTCAACTATAATTACCTTGGGTTCTCAAAATAACAAGAGATAGCACTAGCTCCATAAAACAACAAAATATTAGCCTAAGCAGATCTACACACGATAGACAAGCTACAAATAGACAAGCTACAAAGATTAAGAGACTAATCACAGGATGTAAGGGTCTGCCTAATTAAACATAGACTAGATGACAGAATCAGATAAACTTCAAACTCCCAGACCATCTCCATTCAGCTTCACTTTTAATGAGAATTTAAATTGTGGCTAGGTTTCAGAGTACTTTCTTACCTGTACTTCATTCCAAACGTTTCCATAATGTACGCAATAACAAAGGCAGCACTGAAGAGGGGGAAAAAATTTTAGAAAAAACAGAAAATACAACTCATTAATTAAATGCTAGAGAAAAAAAGATTATCTCTAACTTCATACCTCCTGGAGATCCCTGCATTCCCATGGACAAGAACTTTTCCTGAAAAATAAGAAATAGTTATTCTGATAGAAAGACATCTTATTCAGCAGCTAAAATATATTAAAACCATGTATCATACCACAGTAAAATATATCTTTTCTCAAACATTTTATATATGCAACCTGGATATTTATTAATTTTCAAATCTTTATGGTGTATTTCTATTAACTGTGTGGAGATTACAATAGACTTTTAGGTTACAGAGATTTAAAGCTGACCTAGAATTTGAAAATAGTTCTATGGGGATATTTAAGAAAGCCTACTCAAATGAAACAAGAAGTTGGGAAAATACAGATTTGGGAAAAGTCTACTATTTATAATTAAAACTTTCATATCCTGCATTTAAGACAAACACTGAAAAACCAACTGTAACAAGTAATCTTCTAAAAATAAATGCAAGTAAAGGAAATATTATTTACCTCCACTTTGTAAGCTCCCATCAATAAACTCTTTAGTCTGAAGGCAAAAGAAAATGTGTTATAATAAAATATATGGTTAACATAAGCATAAAATACAAAATACATACAGTGAAACAAAATATTCTGAAAGTAATTTTCTGCTGATTTGTATGAATAAAAATTACCTTAAGTCAAAAATCTTCAAAATGCTGCAAATACAACTATTAAAAGTTTAAAGTTTTGTTTGAATTTAAGAAATCTGAAGTGTGATTTCTCAAATATATGGAGATGAAAAAAAAGTTTTAAAAATAATAAATTTTCTTTAAAATAGAATCCCACAATTTTCAGTCATAACAAAGTAAAAGCATTATAGGAGAAAATGAACCACAATTAAGAGGACAGATCTTAAAGAAAGTTTAAATGACACTAATATATTGATACCTACCATGGGGAAAAAACGTATTATATTTTCAACTGGATTATCTGCAATATCCAAGACTAAATATCTGAAAGTAGAATATTTTGTGATAAGCACACTTTCAAATAAAATTCTTCATATATAAAAAATACAAAAATTTCTTGGCAACCATGAAAATAATGCAAAACAACTTTCAAAATATCATATCCCCAAAAACTAAGCCATAGACTTTATACTGTTTGAAGGTATAGTGTTTAAATCCTTACATAACATGTTACCATTTCTCTGATATCTTAGTATAAAAAACTTATCTGCTTAAAATAGAAAAATCGCAAGTAGGAATAAACCTCTAGATCAGAGTGGACCTAGAAAATAAAGACGAAAATTGCCCGTTTTCCTTGTTGTTGTTCTTCTATTTCTACCAACTTCCCTAGGACTACAAGATTCTTCTCTGGGCGGTCATTCACAACCCTACAGGGCACAATTCAGAGGAAGCCCAAAGTCTGAGAGAGAAGGAACTAACTAAAATAGAAGGCAGCAGTCGATGGAGCATGAGGCAAATATTGTCTGAACTAACCTTGAGTAGAGCAAAGCATAGCCAGAAGACCACCTGTCCTGGAATTTTACACTTCGAAAAACCTTTAAAATAAGGCATTTTAATATACTAGACTTACTTTATTTTGTGAAAAACTTCCATTTCTAACCTATCCAAGACCACCTGTTTATTAACACAACTATAGGTAATTAAGTTATAAAATTAATTTTTAAAGTCAATATTGCTGTCTTTAATGATCATTTTGGTGGTAACAACTTCAACAAATTCAGAGCTTATCACAGAGAAGCTGCACCTAGGACATTTTGGCACTAAAAATAAAAATTCTATACCAATTAGAAATGTATGTATGACATTTTAAAATACAACATTTTCATTTTCTTTAATGTACACAAGTCTGTATGTGTGTATACATAATACACATATACAATAGAGAAGGTTTAGAAGGAAAATGCTAACTAAAGTTAAGTTCCTCTGGGTTGCAGAATTATGGACAACTTTTAAAATATTTTTCTTGGTGTCATTCTGTATTTTCCAAAGTATCTATAAAGAACAAGTATTTCTTTTGCAATTAGAAAAAATTCAATCTATTTTATTTTGGAATAGACATTCCTTTTCTAAAACTAGTTTTTTATTGACGGATAAGTATACATACAGTAAAACATTTTTACAGTATAAAGATATTTGCAGTGAAAAATAAGTCCCTCTCTACCATTCCAGATCCTAAATTTCCCTTCTTAGAAGCAACCATCGTCAAATTTCTAGTCTGTTAGTCCATAAATTTTCTATGCATATACAAGAATATATGCCTAATGTATTGTATATATATTTAAGCACATCAAGAGTACACACGACTCTGCACCTTGCATTTAATAAATCTTTTGAGATTAGTCCATATCAGCACATAGAAATATTTCATTCTTTTCTACAGTTACAGCATTCTACTGCATATTCACACAATATATTTTAGAGTATCTCATACTGATGGTCATTCAGGTTGCTTTCATTTTTACAAACAATGAAGAACATTAAAATATTTTTAACACATATGCTGTTATATAAAATACAAATATCTCTAGAATGGTATCCAAAGCAGAGTTAACAGTAGCTGCCTCCTAGCTAGAGATAAGCTAGGTAGCTGGGTTAAGGGGAGGAAAGAGACTTTTTCACTGTATGCTTTTTTGAACCCTTGGCCCTTGTATCACAGCTGTAATACACCTTACTTTTAAAATGAAGCTAAAATAAAGAACATGAAAAATCATCAAATGCTCAATGGCATTCATCATAAGATAAATGAGAAAGGCAAATTAAAACTACACAAGATACCATTTTTACTCCAGGAGAAACTTTTCAGTATACATTCTTTTGAACCTTTAGAATTCCCCATAATGTGCATGAATTACTTATTTAAAATACTTTAAAGGAAGTTTATTCTTTAACTAGTGTATTGTATGACCCATCTTTATGAAACAGGTATGTATAGAAGAAAAATCTGATATAATAAAATCAACTTGAAATAAAAATTACATGTTTATTACCCTTAACATTTTTATAAATTATAGCAACAATTCTTACCTAAATAATTGTTGAAAGTTGGGTTTAATAAAGTTTGCTTCAATATTTTGTCTTATACACATTATATGAGTTATTCCATGTTTCTGTAGTATAGGTAGCTACAAAAAAAAAAGAGGTAAACAGGAAAGAGAAATAGTTTAAAATACAAAATATCACCTTACTGCAGCATTGATATTTGAAATACAAAGGATTCAACTTTAGAATTACTATTGCTACATCCAAGCCTTAAGTACAGGAGATTAAAACTAATTGTATAAGTGATCAGCGAAATATTTCAATGACTCAAGATTACTACACTTCATGTCCTTAAAAGGCCAATAGGATTATTTTACATCTCTGATTTCAGAGTTTAATATGATCTTAAAGATAATTTATTTGGGGAACGATATACTTTCATTATATACCTTTTTGTACCCTTTCACCTTTCTTATCATGTGTAACGTACTTTTATTACTTATTATATTTATATATTGCTATTTATTTATAATACCATCATGGTTAAAGGCATGGGTTTTGAAGTCATGAGGGCCCAAGCTCTAATCTGAGCTCTGCTAATGACCACTGTGGCTCAGTTTTCTCACATGAAAATGAGGGAAACACCACCTATTCACTGAGTGGTTGTAAAAACTACATGAGATAATACAGTGCCCGGGACACACGGCAATTGTTTTTAGTAAATGGCAGTTACATATACTGACAACAATTTTTATTTTTTAGAGAGGACTATGACATGAACAGTTGTTCAACATCACTGACCTAATTAATAGCAGTACCAGAGCCCAAAATCTCTAGACTGCTCCCTGCCTCTTCCAGTACAATTTTTCTACTGTAAGTTGAAATTAATATATACAAGTCACAAAATCTAATTAATTTTTTAGGGTTTAAAAATTCTTCTAAAGTTAAAACTGGCAACTCCAAATGATATATTCTGTGGTGCTTTTTTTGCTCTGTATTTGAATCAATTTAACATGACAACTCTAGAAGCTATCAAATATTTATTTGCAAGTGATACAGCTTTCAGTGAATTTATGGATAACATGTTACTTTAAGAGTTAGAATATAAATTCCAAGAGAGTAAGAACTTTGTAAACTGATTTATGTTAAGTATGCATAAACCAGTGCCTGGAACACAGTAGCTGTTCAATAATTATCTGTTCAATAAATGAATGAAGAAATCATGCTGGCATGACAAATCAGAATACAGTATTTTTCTACAATATTGTCAGTTTATAATCCTATAAATTTAATTCCTTTTCTATATTGTCAGTTTATAATCTACAATATTGTCAGTTTATAATCCTATACATTTAATTCCTTTTCTATATTAAGTGGTCCAGAACAGCAATACTAATAATTCACCAGAGAATTCAAAGGATAGTTTTTATCTGTTATGGACTGAATGTCTGTGTCCTAAAACTCCTATGTTAAAGCCCTAACTCCATGGTAATGGTGTTGGTTGGTGAGGCTGTTGGAAGGTAATTAGATTTAGATGCAGCCATGAGGGTAAAGCACCCATGGTGGAATTACAGTGCACTTGTAAGGGGAGAAAGACACATCAGAGCCTCCTCTCTCTGCCATGTGAGGATGCAGCAAGAAGGCAGTAAGCCGTGAAGAGGGCCCTCACCAAACCCAGCCATGCCAGCACCTGACCTCAGACTCCAGCCTCAAGGACTGCGGGAAACAGGTGTCCTCTGAAGCCATCCAGCCTATGGTGTTTTATTACAGCAGCTGGAGCTAAGAAAATGTGGTTTTTAAATGTTAATTTCTGCAGCAAAGTTTACTATGTCTTGCACAGATTAGAGTTTAGTTGTCTTTGTATTTCCTGAGTACATCCTGAGATAGGGGAAGGCAGGTAAGCATTTAGTAGGATTAATAATTAATGTTTCATATTCACATTTATGGAACTTCAGAAGTGCATTCAACACTCACTCCTCTGTTTATACTTGATCTATGATATGTGAAGAAGTTTTCATATCTACTTTCTTAATGTGAGAAGCTAGCAGAAGACATACATAATTAGGGATAAAAACCTGTTTCAACAAGCTTTGAAGGCACATTACATTACTATTACTATGTAAAAACAAACAAGATAGAACCCAAAAGTAATAGCACACACAATATTTTTCACTTTTCAGCAGATTTTCACTTAGACAAAGCCAATTATGACCTTATCTCATACCTAAAAACCACAGAAAACTTTCACAGAAAGAAATACTTCGCCACTTACAGAGCCTAAATTTGTCCCTTTTATTGAAACTGGATTTTAATGTAATAAAAGATAGGCTTAACTAAATGAGTATTATTCCCTAAGGTTTCTTTATCACCATTATTATGTTGCTGTTGTTGATACTGTTTGGATGATGATATGAAAAGAAATACGGGCTATACGATGGTAACTCACAGTGGGAAATAATCAAATTTTGCCATAGAAGCTTTTCTTCAGTCTAATGAGACCATGGTGAAATTAGGGGGAAGAGGTTTTGAGAAGTTGAACTATAAACAAATACTTAAAAATTAACATGAGAAATAGTGTAACAAGTGTATTTATAAAGTGCAGTGAGAATACAAAAAGCAAACAATGTAAAACCACCTTGAAGGCCAGTATTTGTGAATGTCACACTATTCAGGCAGTAACTTTTATGTTTATCTTTTACAAAGCAAGTCACAGTTAAGTCTATAGTTATCTACCCTATCCTTTCCTTAGTACTTATTTATATATATATACTTTTTACCAACACCCCATCTTTCCAGCCTAGCTGTAAGCTATCAAAATGACTAGGGCTACTTAGATATACCTCAACAGTAAAAAGCCTTCCAGTTCCAAAAAGAATGACATTAACTTTAAAAAAAACTTCCAACTACCTAATATTTATAAATATATAAAATTCCATCAGAAAAGTTTTAAATTCTACAGTTTTTATAAAATCTACTGCAGTTAAGTATTATATACAAGAATACTAACTTCTAAATAGGCAGGACATTGGGGAGAACATTTTTGATATAATGTTTCACATTATACTTCAAAGAGAATTAGTACCATTGTCATAATTCACAGGGCTGAATCCTTTAGGAAGTAGCAACAAGACTGCTACATATATTTAAATAAGATCTACACTTTTAACTATGTTAATACATAACTTACTGAAGAAATATATTTCAGTTTAACTATATAGGACATCTATAATATATAGTACAATACTTTACAACCTGGATCATCTAGACTTCTAAAGTTTGGAAAAACAGAAACAAGATTTGAGTCGCTTCAGTTAAAATACGTCGGTGTGTATGAATGCATCCGTGTGCTCCCTCAATTTCTCTCTCTCTCTCTCACACACACACTCACACACACACTCTCTCTCTCTCTCACTCTTGATAAGGTAAGGTTAACTAAAGTTAAATACCTTATTTTGTGATTTTATTGTATCTCATTTTTTTTTCAGAAGCTATGATTAACAATTACAGATGTCTAATATTTTAGAGGATAAATAAATTATTAATGGTCAATTTTAAATACACGGATTTCATAAGAAAAGTAAAAGTAAAACTCATTTGTGATTTGTGGTGAAACACTGGAGAGTCACTGGTCCAGTAAAATTTGGAAAAAATAAGATACCGCAGAGTGACAATTACTGTTAACATGCAATATTAGTGGACCCTCCCTCAAATAAAACTCTACTAAAAAAAATTTACTCCAAATAGTTGGTCAATAAAGTCTCTTGATGAACCTAATCTAAAGTTCATACCTTGCTTTTCATAGCAGAAGAATATGGGCCTAAAAACAGTCCAGGTAAAATTTCCTAGGGGAAAAAAATTGAGATATTTACCATCAGCAATTTATACAAAATATGTACCATATAAGTGGATTTGTGAAGTGTTTTCATACTTATAACAATTTCCTAAAAAGTTTGTCATTTAGTGAGTATTTTCTAGCCATACTGAGCAAATGATTGGGAGGAGAAATGCAGATGTGTTTTACATAATCAAATGACACTTTAAAAGTTTAAATGCAGTTCTGAAAAGTCTGGTATTTGAATTTCCATAGTGCTTTTTATAGGTAGTTTAGGTAGAATTTGTACACTGTATTTTTGTCCTTTAGATTAATAAAACATCTCTAATTTTACTCTATTCCCTGCCAGAGTCTAGAAATAAAATAAGTATTAAAAAATCATCCCTTTGGAATTACACAAAACCTTATCAGTCAAATTGAAAGTAGCACAAGATAAAACAAGATTACAACTGTTACCTATGTAAAGTATTATTGCAAAGTTTAAAAAAAAAAGACTGCTGAAATTGAGTTTCGTAAGTTGAATCAATACTTTCTGAAAGATGAATTAAATTTTATTCTGTGTGAATTCAATATAGAAAACTTTCAGTTGAGCAGTATTATACCCTATATACTAATATAGTGTAATTTGGTAGTGCACTTCCATGGGCTATCATAATCGTGTGTGTATGGGTCTGATTTCTCCTAACAGCTTCTTGTGGGCAGAAACTAAATTTTACTCATATTTGCATTTCCCATAGCACCAAGTAAAATGATTAACCACAGGTAATCATATATTTTTTAAAAGTGAATGTTCACTAAGAGAGCAAGGAAACAGATTTTTAGAACTCAAGGGATTCCCAAGAAGGGGAGACACTGCTTGTTCTTGGGGCAGCAGAGTTGAAATGTAAAAGAAATGCAAAAGAAAAAGGTACTGCTATGTGGATTAGCTATCACTAATTCATTCATTCCATACAATGAGTATTCAACTCAATCTTCTGGAGAACTTTATTATGAAAGTTGACTAGAAATCAGACACAAAGATGAACAATTTGTCAAAGGGTGATTTGCTTTACAATCAACTATCTTGAGTTTATATAAATTAGACAAGCACAGAAAGCAAAGTGCTTTCAGAAAGAATACAAATATTGTACCCAATTTTTCAGATGAAGAAAAACAAAGTGACTCATTAAGCACACACATATTATTACTATCTCTATGGTTCTAGCCTAAGAAATTTCCCATCTTTTTAAGAGCCATGAGTAACTTTAAATATGTTAACATTTCAAATACTCAGTGAGGAACCTACAGATCATGAGTCAGTAAGACTCAAATCCTTTGTGAAATCAGGTTGAATTCTTTAATAATGATAATAACAATAATACAGGTTGGCTTGAATAAACAAGAAGTTTGTCATACCTGCATCTCTCGTCTCATAGGGTAGGTCCACTCCTTAAAGATGGAAGGAAAACATAAGACAAGAAGTAAATAACATTATGAAAACTATCACCCAATTAAAGCTTAAAGATGTGATATACAAGTCTATGGATTTTTAAAGCATATATTATACTTAAAGAATATTCTACAAAAATAGCAGATTCAATTGACTTCACAAACAACTGAAAATTTAAATGACAAGAAACAATGATTAAGGTAATTCTTTAAATAACTGGGCTTCCAAAATTATAATTGTTATTTCGTACAATGGATGGAATAGCTCAATAATCATAAGAATAGATATTCCAGAATTTTCTCTTAAAAATGATCCTCTAAGTTAGAGATGTCACACAGACTTTTTGTCATTCATGCCAACTCTAACCAACTGGTGGAAGACAGCTAAAGCCCTGTGTGAAGAAAGACTTGGGAAGAAAAGAGTGCTATATGATCAATGAGCAATATCTGCAATGGATGAAAGAAGAATGGAATGTGATAGGTGTTTGCATTACTGATCCAACTTACCAGATGCCTATCAAACAGCCTTTCCCATATCTTACTTAGGCTTTAGAGTCTGTCTAGTTCAAGTCCCTTTAAACATACACTTCACAAAAGTATACAGTTCATTCCATCTTTGGAATGCAGACCAAGATAAAAAAGTTAGAAAGTAATACAAAATGCCAATAGCAAAAGACAGAAAATATTTTAAAAGTTAGAAAAAGAAAAAACAGTTACAGTGAATTGATACATGAAGAATCAAATATAGTACAGATAATCCTCATTTGTAAATGGCCTGCATTCCAAAAGCTTCTAACTTGGTTACTTAAAACTCAGAATTATAAATAGTAATTAGGTTTGTAAAGTTAAACTACACAAAGTTTTTTTTAAAAACTTTTTATTTTGAAATAATTTTAGAATTACAGAAAAGTTGTAAAAATAATACAAGGAATTCCCTTTACCCTCCATCCAGATTCCCTAAGTCAGAAAAGTATTTTTAACACATCAGTTAGAAATGTTATACTCTGTAAAGGAAAGAGAGAATAATACTCCTACAATCACAGTCAGTATTTTTTCAATAGAGAAATAAAATACATTTTTTGTTTTTAATCTTGAAAACTGGTCTAGTAATGAGTAGAGGTAGACTATTAAACCTGAGAAATCATCTACGTAATGACTGTTAAAGTATATTTTTAAAAGTATCTTTAAATGCACAGCTGAACTAACAAGTGAGGGAAATCCCCAGATAGACACACTCACAAACACAAGAAAGCATAAACCTAGAAAAGGGACTGAGCGCTGAAACAGAGCATCTGATCTTTTCATGGCCTATTTCTTTCTGTTCTTTCAAAATGGAGATATAAAAGAACTTATAATGAGGTGTTAAAATGCCCAAATCTAAATGCAGAGCTCAATGAATTTTCACAAACATACACACCCACATAATCACCACTCATCAAGATTTCCATCATCCCAGAAAGTTCTCTCACTCCTCTTCTCAATCACTATCTCCTCTTTTCAGAGGTAACCACTGAATTCTATCACTACAGATTTTAGTTTTGCCCATTCTAAAACTTCATGTAACTGGAATCATACAGCAGTACTATTTTACATCTGGTTTATGTCACTCAATCTAATGTCTGTGAGATTCATCCATGTTATTGTGTATGTCAGTAGTTTGTCCCCTTTTATTGCTGTGCGGTATAATACTAAGTAAATATTACACCATTTACTCATTCTCCTATTGGTGGAGCTTTAAGTAGCTTCCAGGTTTTGGCAATTATGAATAAAGGTGCTATGAGAATTCTTTTGTATGCCCTTTGGTGGACATATGCATTCATTTCTCTTGGATATATAAGTGATATATAAGTGGCAATGGAGTAAATTTTCCAAAACAAATTTACACTCCCACAAGCAAATGTATGGGAGTTCTAGTTGTGCCACATCTTCACCATGGTCTTATTTTAAATGGCACTGTACATGAAACAAACCCTAGGACCTGCTCAAAGTGGGAAATCAGATCACAACCAAAAAGCTGGGATCCCAAAAGGCAACACCTTCAATGAAAGATAAACTGGAGTGGGGCATGGGGAACTCACTTCATTCTCATAAAAATGAACACTCTTGCCTTTCTTAGCTTTGGTTCGGAGTAGGTGGTAGTGGTAGTAGTGGGGTGGGGTCTTCATAACTACAATCTGGCCTTCACTCAAGTTTGGCATTGGAATTCAATTATCTTTGTGAGGCCAAGTAAAACTTCAATGTCAAGTGGTCCTGGGTAGATAGTGTCCATGGGTTCCTAGGAGAAACAGATGCATTTTCTCTCTGGAGGAACATACTCTAAATCTAGATCAGAAATAATTCAAACTAATAAATTCCAATGAACTCACAATAAAAAATTCAGTTTAAAAAAAAGAGGAAATAAGCCACTATGAAAAGCAGACACAACTGAATCCCATACACAAAGACTGCAGATATTAACAACAGCAATGAAAAACATAACACATTTAATATAAAGAAATAAGAGTAATAAAAGTATAACCAAAAATTAAGAAACTAATTTTTAAGAGCGCCAAAAGGAATATGTAGAAATCAAAAAGTACAATGGAAATGAAAAATCAGCAGATAGGCTAAACAGAAGAAAGGACACAGCTAAAGAGAGAATTTGTGAACTGGAAAACAGAACTAATGAAATGATCTAATTTCAGAGTTAGAAAATATAAGCAGTTAACAGACATGTAAGATAGAATTAAATGGTCTAAAATCCACAGAAACTAAATTCCAGAAGGAAGGGTGAGAAAATAAAGGAGAGATATTAATGAGAATTTTCCAAAACTGGTTAAAGACACTATACCTCAGAAACAGGTAGCCCAATAAATCCCAAGCAGGAGAAGGGAAAGAAATGAACAGGTAAAGAGTGAAACAGTAGCAAATCAAACACAGAAAGAAGAATTTCTTTTTCCAGACTAAAAGCAAGTATAAGAATGGAAAAAAATCAAGGCCAGAAGATCTACACATATGCAATTAATTTTCCTGAAAGACATTAAGGCAATTCAATAGAGAAAGAAAAGTCTTTCAATAAGCAGTGCTAGAACAACTGGATGAATGATGGGAAAATAAAATGAATTTGGATCCTGACCATACAAGGTGCACATGTGCATGCACACACACACCTCATCTGTCTTATTCCTGTATCTATTTCCAACACTTGATGACAGTGCCTGGTACAGAACAGGCACTCAATAAATAACTATTGAATGAATGAAAAAAAGTGTGTGTGTATAAACATAAATGCAAAAATGATCTAACTTCCAAAAGAAAACATAGGAGAGTATCTTTGCAACCTTGGAAAAAGCAAAGATGTCTCAAAGAGGGCAAAAAGGTACTAAGCATAAAGGAAAAATAATTCAGTAAATTCAATTTCATGAAAATTAAAAACTTCTGCTCAGTTAAATACACTACTAAGAAAATGAAAGATCAAGCAACAAACTGAAAGAAAATATCTGTGTAATACATATATCCAACAAAGGACTTGTATCCAAAATACAATACACATCAACAATAAAATGATAACCTAATTTTTTAAGTGGGCAAAGACATCTCATTATAGAAGACATTTAAATAGCCAAAAGCACACGAAAAAGTGCTCAACATCATTAGTCCTTAGGGAAATTCAAATTAAAACCACGAGATACCACTACATACCCACTAATGACTAAAGTAAACAAATGACAACACTGAATGTTAGTGAAGATGTAGAGCAACTGGGACTCTTAAACATTGCTGATGGGAGTATAAAATGAAATGTTAATCATACACCTACCCTATTAATTAGCAATTCCACTACTAGGATTTACCAAAGAGAAATGAAAACATATGTCTACAAAAAGACTTGAACAAAAATATTCAAAGCAGCTTTACTTATCATAACCCCAAATAACCCAAATGTCTATCCACAGTATAGTCATACAATGAAATAATATTCAGCAATAAAAAAGAATCAACTATTTACAAATACCATACAGATGAATTTCCCAGATACTGTGTTAAGGGAAAAAAGCCATAAACAAAACAGTCCACTTTGCATGATTCCACCTATAAGTTCAAGAACAGATAAAACTATAGTTAAAGAAATCATCACGTTCATTGCCTAATGCAGGGTTGGGTAGGGGCTGCCTGGAAATAGACATGAGATAACTTTCTGTGTTGGTAGACACGGTCTGTATCTTAATAGAGGCACTACTTATACTGGTGATTATATTTATAAAAACTCACTGAACTGTACACTTAATATCTGTGCATCACACTCTCTGTAAATTTTATCTCTATATAAAAAGAGAGCATCCAGACAAAAAAGACAGATTATCTAAAAAGGACAGAATCAGACTGACTTTGACTTCTCAACTACAAGAATGGAAGGCCAGATGACAGAGGAATAATACATTCAAAGTGGTAAAATAAATAATTGTTAGTCTAGGATGTATGTTGAGAAAATCATCTTTCAAGGACAAGAGTGAAATAAAAGACAACTCCATACAAACAAATAAAAAAAGAGTTTACTACCAGCAAGCCCTTATTAAAGGAACTTCTAAAAGATGTTTTTTTGAAGAAATGGTACTATTATTGTCTCTATTTTACATTTCTATTTTAGGCACAGAGAGCCTACAGAACCTGACTTGAAGTTCAGGTAGTCTGATTCTAGACTCGTCTCTCAATGTAAGAAGGAACTATACGGCAAAACTATAGTTTACATTTAAACAAATATTGATGGCATATAATAATAATAATAATAATAATAATAATAATGATGATGATGATGATGATGATGATGATGATGATGATGATGATGTTTGTGGAGATTAACAGACTAGAAAAAAACATATAGTTCACAAGCCAGTAGAGAGGAAAATGTAATCAAATTATACAAACTGAATGTTTACCTGCTTCTTTAACTTACCAATCAGTATGTTATAACCTTTTTACACTGAAGATTTTATAGGGAAGTTAGGCCAAAAACTGTCATTTTAATCTCAGAACCCCTAAAGTTGAGTACAAAGCCTGCCATGGAATAAGCACTGTAGAGATCCATGGCACTAGATTCTATGGATATTATTTCTTTCTCTTTTCTTTCTTTTTTAAAAAGAGATTCTCTAATAGTCTAATAGCCAGCCTTGTCTTCCTGAAACTTGTCTGAGTTATGAGAAAGTGATTAAAGAAATGTGTACTTTCGAGTTTACCTCAAATGAAATCTCTACATTATGTGTGATAAAAGAAGAAAAACAGAGGAACATAAATAGGGAATTGGTGTACATAAATTCCAGGGAATACTAGGCAGTACGTCAGAAGACACTTAAAGCTACAGAATAAACTTGTGCTTCTTTCTGGTGTATCAATTTTACTAGATTTTTTTTTCTGGAGAAATAAAGTATTTTCATTGACTACTAATTTAAAACACTTCTATTAAAACAAACATGAACATATGGAATAGAATGCAAAATTTACATGAATTTTTAAGTGAAACAAGAGGCTTCACATAAATGTTGAGCTTCCCATAAGGTTACATGCAATAGAACATGTATGCTGTATTTACATAAGAGATATTACAGGAGTAAAAAGCAAGCTATATAGAAGAGAATGAAAAATTACTCCTATTCACAGGACAGATAAGCATGCAGCCAGTCTACTTTAGTGAGCGTGACTTGCTGTTATAGGTATGGACCCTTTGAAACCTAGAAAGCTTTCTCTCGTAGAAAATATCATTTCGAACATTTCCTGGTGCTGGCATCAGACCTTAATCTCAAGAGTCTACCCTCTTTGTTTATCTAGCCCTGATTATTACCTACAGAATAAATCTTAAACCAGCCCTGTCTACCAATTCTGCCTTTCGCGTACTCAATCAAGATTTTGAAAGTCATTCGTGCTGTCTTCCTCTACCATTTTTCTGTCTGAACATGTCTAATAACCAAGTCTTGACTGTAACACACTCAATCTTAATCTTAGCCTGCCCACACTGTTTCTAAAATCCATCACTTTAGAGATGGCAGTATTTGGGGCAGACTCCCATTATAACTGCCAATGATCTATTGTGAATTACTACTGTAGATAATTAGTAGAATCTCCCAAACTTTGATGATTAGCCAAGCAATCCAACTATATTTTTCAAACCAAAACAAACCATCTAAGCCAAAATAACCTTTATCGTGAAACACAACATGCTTCTGATAGAAATTAATTCACAAGTGAAAATCCTTCAATCATCAATATGACCTAAAAGGTATCACATATTAGAACATCTTTCAGGCTCTCTTTCCTTCTTAAGCAAATGCAGTTTACATGATACGTAAAACTGCACTTAGGGGACAGAAAAAAATGTTATAAAAAGGTTCAAAGAACAATAAATAAATAAACAAATAAATGCACCAAAGGATACAGGTTGTAATCATTAGATAAATAAAAACCACACAGGTGCACCTATCATCAGATAGATCAGGCTGGCTGAAACATGTAATTTTTAGAAATAAAAAGTTTTTTTTATTTAGGTGGGAGGAGCTCAGGAAAAAAGAATCATCAGAATTTTATACCTGAGCTGGGACACTTCACAAAACAGAAGAGTACAGTTTCTTTCCTCCAAAAAAAGACAGTCCTCTGTGGAATAAGCTCTGTCCTTTAGTTCCCACTCTGAGCTCAAGTTTTGCTTAAACCAAAGGACCAAAGGAGATTTTCGCTCTAAAAGTGAGAGAATTGGGGGGATATGGAGAAGCAGAGGGGTATTTAAGTAAGATGCTTCTAAATAAGTTATTTCAAAACCTAGCTGCCATTAGAATTATCTAGCTCCACCTTAGACCAATTAAATCAGAATAGGTGCCCAGGCATGGTTATTTTCTAACCATGGGCGATTCTACTCTACAGTCAGGTTAAAAAAGCACCATTCTAAATTTAAAGGAGCTAGAAGAGGGACACTCAGTCAGACACATTAAGCAACTCCGATTTTTGATTCATTAAGCAACTCCAATTTTTGATTCTGTACTAAGAGAATCAAAAGAGAAAAGAGTATAGAATGGGTGACATTTAAGTAGCCAAAATGCAACAGAAATAAATTATATTTCACTTTCTACCTGAATACAAGATAAAATATTAATTTTTGAATTATAAAACCATTAGGCTAACTATGCAACTAATTTGTTTAAAATCTGTTACTGTAAGCTGCTATTTTTTTCTTCACATGTTTAAAAAAACTACTGTAATCTTGTCACAAGACTCTACTATCAAAACCAATCAAGATTCTTTCATTAATTCAAAAAACAACCACCAAGCTTACGGTATACATCAGACACTCAAATGAAAGAAACAGTGGCAAGTAAGACAGGACTTTCACGGTGATTAAGCTCCCTTGTGAAACTTTCAGGCTATTGTGGAAAATAGACTTTGACCAAAAAAAGTGTACTGTTATAAAGATAGGTATAGAAGTAAAAGTACCAAGTGCTACAGAGCTTTACAAACCTGGGGGATTAAACTAGTCTGGAGAATGGAAGAGGGGACAGAAGGAACTGGCAAAATCAGGGAGAGCTTCTCTGAAGAAATGATGCCTTAAGTGAGATCTAACCCAAGAGCAAGTAGTTAATTAGGTGAGGGCAAGGGGAATGCTGGTGGTCACGGCAGGGGAAAACAGTAACACAAAGGTCCTGAGGTAAGGGGGGAAGGCTAAAGCATTCTAGAAAATGAGAGAAGATGAATATGGATAAGGAATATAGAGAATGGAGCAAGGGGAAGGGTAGCTCATTATGAGATTAGAGAGGCAGGCGGATGCCAGTTCACAGGACCATGTAGTGACGTTAAGGGTTTGAACTTCATCCTCAAAACAATAGGAAATCACAGCAGTTTTAAAGGAATGACAACCTTTTTGCAAATTGATCTAAAAGCTAAATTTTTGCTAGTACTGTCCTATCTAAAGAGTGTTCTGCCCAGTATTTCAAGAAACCTGAAAGTAGTATTTTTATAGAGGTGACAGGATCATCAAGCTACCATAACTTAATTACATCAATCATTAAGAGCCTTTACTGAAATCTCTTTAATTTCAACTAAAGCAAGATTTGGATTGTGATTAGTAGTGTTTGCTATGTGGAAGAAACTATGCTGGCTGGTCACCATAACCACATAAGACCATTTGACACTTTACGTATCTCACTGGAAATTAGAATATTAACATACTGTTTTATTAGTCAGTTTATCATGAGTAACTATATGTCCTATTTAATGGTTATAGCTTTCTCTGCCCAGAAAGCACCCTCCATATTCTGTGGAAATGCTCCTATGGTTTTGGTGGGAGGGCTATCTATAATAAACTTTACTCCCCTAGCCCAGGAAGTAAGTATATGACCTACACTGGACTTACTGTATTCACACCTTTCTGGCTCTCTTGACTGATCCAAAGGATGGGCACATGACCTAAGTTGGGCTAGATTTTAAACATTGAAGCTTAGAGAAAGGCACTTTTATTCTTCAATGTGCAAGCAATAAGGGTGTGACCCTGGAGCAACTGATGGCCAAACTCCATACCTGTGGAGAAGCCCAAGAAACAAAAGAGACCCTGAGAAAAAGTAAAAACAATCATGAATGAAAGGCACAATGAGTTCTAATGCATTATAATACCATCTAGTCAAGTCCCTGAGATCAGCTGCACTCCAAACTTTCTGGATTTAGTGACTTTTCTTTTTTGCTTAAGCTCCTCTGGTTTTTGCCACCTGCAACCAAAAGATAACAAATATCCAACACTATGAAATAAGGAATGAATTGATTTTCAGTAGATAATGTGTACATCGTTATGTACTAGCTTCAAGCATTACTTCTGTCCCACACAGGAAAGGAGCCATATTCCTAACAAGATTTTATCATCTTTGCAGGGATAAGCTATATTATTTACACAATAAGAGATTAAATGCAAAGTCTGTAAACATTTTAAACTAGAACTATTAAGATTAGAACAGAGAAGAATTAAGGTGTATTAAAAAAGGGCAATGAATTAAGGATCAGGAGACCAAGGTCTTTATTGTCTCTTATGCTAGGTATACCATTTATTCTTAGTTAAGCTACAGTTTCTTCACCTGAAAAGTGGGAATGCTCTACATCATGTCTAAGGTTGCTACTAGTACTGAAATTACTGAATCATTTTGAGGATATAAAAGCATACTCCTCATTTACATTATTCCATATAAAAGAAAGAAAAAAGTGTAAATTTGCTTTTAAACTAATCTAAATTGGGACTTCCCCCTCCTATTTAAGAACCAACTCTTAAAACATGAAATTCTCAAGGATTACTATCACAAGCAAAAGATCCTCCAAATAAAAAATGTGAACCACAAATGAAGATATTCAATAGAATAAATACTTGGTATAAGTTAAATGGTCTCTTAAAAATACAAATTTTAGATTTCCTCTTTCTTGATCCAACTAAAGCATAACTGAATATCCTTGCCTATTATTCAGTCTTCAGAAAAATTCTAATTTAGTAGTCTGTAATACCATAAAGTACTTTAAACTAGGAATAGATGGGGGGGGAAAACTCAATACAAACGTCAGGCAGGGAGTAAGTACAGAGTGGGATAAAAATAACTCCGAATTGTAAATCAGGAGACCAAGTCATAAAGAATTTTATTCACAATATTAACTTCCTTCCATAGGGCAAGTTTTTTGAGTGAAGCTTTCAGATACAAATCAGTAAATCTTGTGACATTTTATTCAGCTAGTCCCGGCTTACCTCAAAAAAACCAAAAACCAAACCAAACCAAAACAAACCAACTACGCCGGGAAACTTTTTGAAGGCACACTTTCAAGTTCAGGCCCCAGATCTATTCCACACGTGAGGCCATGTGTCCCACAAGTGAATCGATGACACCAAGGATAACCCCTCAAAATGAAATTAAAAACATCACCCTCCCACTGCTTTGGCAGTTAAAAGCGGAACCTTACTTCAAGCGAGTCCCCGACGCCGAACCTAGGAGGGAAAGGACTGCTTTTGCTCATCTCCATGAACTAAGCGGACCAGAGCCGGCCCCCGCGCCGGCGTCTCAGGAGGGGAAGAGAAACTCAGTGAGCCAGGGTCAGAGCTGACGGCCCCCGAGCACGAGGCTCCGTCCCAGGGTCCCGGGACGCCCCTCGGGAGGCAACCGGGTTTCTGCGGAGCTGGAGGCTTCGACGGTTGGGGCCTGGAGTCGCCGCTCGGCCGAGGAGCCACAAGGGGAGGCCTGTGCGTGGCAGTCACCGGACAGACTCACCTCGGCGTCTTCTTTGCACTGTGGGAGCGAGGGGAACTCCAGCTTCACGTCCTCCATGGTCCCGGCCCGCGAGCTTGTGGGTGGGGTGGGTTGGGAGTGGGGGTTACCCGGCCGGCCCGACCCTCGAGCTGGCAGTGGCGGTGAGAGGAAGCAGGGCGGGTAGACCGAAGGACTGAAGGGCAGACAGCGGGTTTACACTAAAACACGCAGACTAAAGGGTCCCAGTCACTCCGGCGGCGGCGGCGGCGACAGCCGGGAAGAGGAGGGTTGGGCGGCTCGTGCCCGGCCGCCATGCTGCTGCCGTTTCCCTTCCCGCGAGTCTCCGCGCCCCTCAGGCCGCCCAGGCTCCGGCACCAGCACGAGCCCTACAACCG